TCCTTTCTGTAATGTTACCCTCCAGTTTTCTGTTTATTTCCTTGCTGAATTTTTCATTTTGCCTACTATTTTCCACTTCAAATTTTAGTTTTCAAAGAGAAGGCTCACTTTATCATGGTGTTTGTAATGCACAGAAGAGGTTGCAGTGCTAACCTGTGTAGTTGCAACCTCAGTACAAGCATTAAATAATAAGAGCGACTGCTTTGTAATAAGTGGTTATGGGAAACTTGACTATGTGCAGGTTCAGTTTTATTGCATATTTAATGAATCTCATGAATCCACATTAAAGCTAAAATTACAGTTGCATTTTCTAAAGCTGTCATAACATGACTGTCTCTTAGGTAGTGGTAGTTTTAAATTGGTTGAATTACACACTTAATTTTCATATCAAGTATTTTCCAGCTAAGAATATGAAAGCCATTACCTATTTTGGTGCAGATTATTTTTTCGCTTTGAGTACATGACCATCAGCAATGCATCTTGCCCTTGGCAGCCTGCTTCTACAGTCTACTGCTATTACTAGGTTTTCACACCTAAGAAGACAGAAACTAAGAGGGATAAACTTTGAAAAAAAAGAAACTGTGTGGATTTAAAAAAAAAAACCAAACCCAAAACCCAAAACCCAAGCCAAGATATGTCTGGTTTGCTCATTTAAAAAGTTACCTTCTCTGGAAAGTGCTTTTCAGGATAATTGCCTCCTAAAGGAACTCTGCTGCAAACGACCCATACTGCCAGTTTATGAAGGCGCTGGGGTGTTATACGGCAATAATAATAAAAACCCCAATAGTTAAAAAACATTCCTTGATACAGCAAAAACAAGTGAACTTGTTTAGGAATGGAAAAAAGCAGCATGTACTACATAGGTTATTGCTACCTGTGAGCAACTCGAAGGATCGGTGGAGGCAGGTGGGCTCTGCTGTTACATACAGCAGCATTCACGTGGGTCTCAGAAGTGCAAAGATCTAGCTGAGGCACTGTAAGAAACGAGTCACTCGGAGCACTTGATCATGGCCAAGCTGAAGTGTTTCTTTGTTTAAGTTTTAGATCTAAGACTATCCCCAAATTATACACATTTGAGCTTCAATTCATAGCTTTTTCATCTTCTTGACAAATAGGTTACACACAACTTGTAAACAAACCAGTGCTAACAGCCACTCGCCAGTCCAGATCTGAAGAGACATGAAGTGAAATGCAGGTCAGAATTTTGCCTTCAGAGGGGATTCTTGGGTGAACCTGAAGTGGTAAGATTGCACAGCTGAAGATCCAAAATTTGTTTCCCAGGTGGCCCAGCAGAACTATTAGTTCTTGCCCTTCCAGACAGGGTAAAGGGCTGTCAACCTGCTTATGGTTTTGCATAAGGAATGGGTGGAAGAGGCTGCTATGGCTACCTGTGTGGTTCAATAGCATATCCCAGTTTGTACCTTTTTGTTAAGCTATTTGCATCTTGGTACCAGGATGTCCTGCTGCAGTACCTGCCTGGGTTGCAGCAGCCTAAATACGATCTATGCCTTTGAAAAGACAGAGCATGTACATCTTAAACAAGGTGTCTTTCTCTGCACAAATTGCACTCTTTTGAAACAACAAAATCTTTAAAAGGATACTGCTGTCCAAGTAAGGATGGAGGTGAAGTGTTTGTTCCAGATCAGCTGAACTTACTAAGAATCAGCAGATCTGATCCAAGTTGAGTGCTTTTCTCTGCTCTGGCTAAAAGAGACACATTAAGAAATAGCATTTCACAGGCTGCAGACAAAGACGAGCAGCTGTACTTCCTTAATACATGGGCTTTTTAGCATGTGATGTCTTGTAATTTTGGTGTATAAAGCCCGTAGCAGCATGGGAGAATAAGGCAATGGATATCTGGTTTGCTGACATACCTTTCTATGCCTGGGAAGCAATGTGAAATGGAGGAGCAGGATTTTACTGTGAAGCAGATCCTTTTTGTTAAGGTTTAAAAGGAAGTCTTCACAGTCTGTTTCCTGTCTGAAAAAGAAGTCTCAGCATCCCTGCAGGACAGGGAGTGAGGCTGAGTTAGCCTACAGATAATCTCTCTCCCTGTTTTGAGAAATCTCACCAAATGGTCTCATATCTATACTAAGCAATAAAGGAGGAAAGCTGTTCCTCAAAAAATACAGCACCTAGTTAATCCTGCAGCTATCATCCACTCTTGCTGTCCAACAGGTCTTTGAAGGGCAGCCCCAAACACACTAGCAGAAAGTCATAGTGCCGAAGCAACAGCTTGTGGCAAGTTTGTACTGAGAGGATGCCAAAGTATCCATCGTAACCAGAGGATTACGTCTGGCAGGAGTCTAAAATAATTCTGAGTGCCAGCAGTCTTCAGTTCTAGAGGGGCCTGAATACACTTGGACTGCCACCAAGTGAGTCACTGGTATGCAGGGCTCACGTGGTTTTCCATGTCCGGAGGCAGGAAGGTTAGATACGTGCTGGTGTCAGTAAATGGTTTCTGGGCTCCATCCATTCATTGCAGTTCAGAATAATTATCTCTCAACTATGTCAGTAACCCAAATCTATCAACAGTGACCATACAATCAACTAAGTCATGAAAGCCAAGTGAAGACAAGCCAAGAGAAGATGGAGAGGTAGTTTTCTGCTAAACTAATGATTTTCATAGCCCAATCCAAATTCTCAGTGGACAGGTAATGTGGAACATCTTCATCTATAAGAACTAGAAAGAGCAGGAGTCCCATCAGGAAGGTTCAGGACAATTGGGCTGATCAGTAGAACTACTAGTGTGTAGAAGGAAAGAAGAAAAATTGGCATCCAGACCTTTGTGCTTCTGTTAAGTAAAAAGCAGGTTCTTGTTAACTAAGAAACAAAATTCTGAATGTCCAAGAAGCAAGATTTTCATGTGCTAATGGTGCTAGCAAGCCCTGAAAAGAAATGTCTCAGGTCAGACTTCGCACGGAAAGCATTAACACTGGTGACTACTTAAAAGCAATAGACTTTTAACTGCTCCTGAAAACCATACTTGCTGTGTAACTAAGGTAAGTGGATGGGTGAACAAACAACGGCTGGGCTGTAGGTTGAGCATATCTCCATGGAAACTCAGTCATCCTCTGCACTCAAAATGTGTTCTGCGTGGTGATTCGCAATTTAAAGCAGTGGGATAGATTTCTCCTAGGGGTAATGTGTATGTGCCAAATCCCATTCCAGAACGGAGGTCTGACCACCCATAAAATTTAGGATTTTCCTGGGGCAATTTTTGGGGAAACAAACAATAAAGGGAAGCAAGAACAAGTAGGTAGAGATCTAGGGTAGTATTTGGTTAATTATATAGCCATTTTATGTCTGGCCTTGGTCAACTTAGGACAGATTTTTGAGGATGATGTAGCTCCTGTTGGAATGGTTTTGCTGAACTCCAGGTAGGTGGAACATTAATACAAGTGCAAGTGGAAGCTGTTCACCATTTTTAACAAGTTTGAAGAGAAGAGACTTAATAGCAAGACTTAGAGACTAGAAAGAGTTGAGTGTCATGTTCTTTAAGAATAACAGTTTAAAACCAGTGCAACTCAATCCAGCCTGCTGAGGTTAAGAAATTAGTTCTGCATCCTTTAGACCTGTGTTCAGATGCCTAGTTAGACTTAAAGAACAAATGAATCCTAATACTAACTGGAGCACATTCCAACCTGTGCTCTCCTCCCAGTCTGCGACTGTCAGGCTCCGCTTGTGGGAAGCAGAGGTGGAAAAGCGGAGGTGTTATAAGCTACATCATCAGAAATCAGGTGTGTTTTGAGTTGTACAAGAGGAGCTTCACCCGCAGAAAATCCGCAGGAAAATCACAACCCTTAGTTTGGCACCCTCTCAAAGGCTAAATCAATTCCATACCCTTTCTTTATCAGATCTTTTGTGCTGTGACTCCTGCATGGAAGTAAATGCACCTTCCTGTATACGAGCTTGTCTGAAATCCATCAGAGTAAATGGTTTTGATGGGATTTATTGCTTGAGCTGTACAGGGTGACACAGATCCCATCTGCTGAGCTTTACGTTCAAATGCCCTAAACTCTCAAACAGAAACACACAGCACCCATGCTGCACACACACAGGCACCTGCAGCTATGACGCTGAATTTCGGGGGGAGAATAGACACAACCCCATCAGATCATTCTGAGCTGGCCCATCAGAGAAGTACAGTGTGCCCTTCTGTTACATCTCTTCAATTTCGTGAGCCTGAGCTCTTCTCTGATTCATCTTTAAGTTTTTATAACCAGTGAGAAAACATCCCCGCTTTATAAAATGTATATTTTGTTCTCAAAAGTGTCAGATTGGTGGTTCATGTCAAAGGTTTTATATGCAGGAAAAAGGCTTCTATTTTCTATAAACCATTCCACCTGGGTCCCTCTGCTGCAGGCTCTGCAGGGAAGGAGGCAGGGTGAGTTCTGCTGACACATCAAGCTCAGCTTCTCCGCAGAGCATGCAAGAACAGCAGATGCTGGCAAAGAGGTCTGCGCCTGAGGTAGTAACTCATGACCTGCAGACTGATTCGAAACAGCACGTTACCTAACAGTGCCTGCTTGCTGCTGATACCCTGCTCGGAATTAAAGCGTGAGATGCTCTGTATTTTCATACCAAGGCCAGCTTCGAAGTTTCCCAGTGATAAGAAATTAGAAGAGTGGGGTCCCATGCAGGCCCTAATATAAGATTTTAAATCCTTTGAAAAATAGTAAGATGCCAAGAGGCTCCTTGTGCAGTGGCATGCTTGGAGCCAGGACTGAGCAGCTGTGTGGGGGAAGGGACCAGAGCATTAAATAAAGCTACTTGTTGACTGCCTGTAAAACTGGCTTCTAAAGGGAGTGCCTCAGAACACCATCCATTACCAAGTGACAGAGAGTCATTTTCAGTTACTCTGGGGAATGTAATAATTAAACTCTTGTGTGTTCCTGTTCAGTATGGTTGGTTGTGGGTTATACAGTTTAATATTTACAAGAAGGATAGCTCTCTCCAGTGCCACCTTAACCCTGGCCTGTTTTTCTCTTTCCTTCCAGATGCTGGAGAGCTCTTCAGTCCTTTTGTTCATTATCCTCGCCCTGCTTTTCATTTTGCTGCTCTTTGTGGGGCTCATCAGGAAAAACGGCACTGCTGCCCTTATCTGGAATGAAATAATCCGGGAGAAAATAACCAATTTCATCATGAATCAGAGCAAAGAACAGAGGATTTTAAATTTTGTGCTGCAGAATGCAGTCCGAGGAGACCCCTGTAGTGTGGTGGACACTATAGATAAATACTGCTCCCAGAAAGAGTGGGCCATGAATGTGGGCGATGAGAAAGGTAATTGCAGCAGGGATCAGCACTTGAAAGATCCTTCAAGACTAGCACAGTGCAGGACATCATATTGTATTCACAGAGTAACTTCCATCTGCTAGCAAAACCCAACCAAATAGCCTTGTGGTCAGCAGAGTAGTTCTATGAACAGTAACGCATGCTTGTGCAGATGTCTTTGATGAGGAGTATCCAGTGAGTAATCCAGGAAGTCACAGGACCAAATCTGGGTTTGTATGTCTTGTACACTGCAAGTGTGTAAGCAGTGGTGACAATTTATGGGAAAAATCTGGGGTTACGTTATACCTCTGTTCCTATACAGGGTGGCCTTAAGCATAATTCATTAAGTACTTTCAGATACTTAAGCAAAAGTAAATAGTAAATTAAAGAGAAAGTATTTTAAACCATATGAATTTTTTGTATGCAAGCATAAGTTGCATAAGTTACAAGCTACTGTTGAAAGAAGAAATCCCACCGATGTAATACAGAAAAGCAGCTATCAGACATCAGTCAGTGCTACATAGCAAGTATATCATCTTGTTCTTGCCTCCTGAAGGAAAATACATGGACAAAACATTTTTTTCTTAGCTGCAGGAAGTGATACTCCTTACAAACCAGGACAACTGTAACGGCAAAATATTAACATGTTCCCCTATGAATTAAACACAAAAGTACCTCTTGCTGGGAAATTGCAGGGAAAATTTGCTTAGTGTGGGATTAACATAGCTAATGAAATACAACTGGAAGCATTGTAATAAAAATGATTCTCTGCCATGGGTACATTTTGTGAAACTAGCTCCTCTGCATGCCAGGCTGGGGTGCTTAGGGCAACAGAACAGTAGGTGGTGGCTGAGTAGGAATTCTTAATGCCTAAACTTTGATCATTTGGGATTATATTCTTAAAACATTCACTCTAGTTTTTCTCTGACCAGCTGAACTTTCCTCAGATAAGATCCATCAACGATAACGCTTCTCTAGTTCTGAAGATTTCGAGAGTGACCACATGATCTCAAGATGCAAGTGTCACCGTCACACTATTCATAAACAAACGACACTAATGTTTTCCATCCCACAAATTCATCTAGTGAATCCAAGTATTTTGCAGCTTTAGAAGTGTACTTTTTCCTTTAAAAACAAGTATTTTGCACTCAAAATTTAGGAATTACATATTTTATAAATATGGCCAGCTTCTGCAATAAGTTCTTGGAAAAAAACCCTGCATTTTTCCCTTGGAACACTATAAATATTTTAGTTAATTCAGGCACTTCCTAACTCAGAAATGTTTATATTGTGAAACAAAGTAATATTTCTTTTTTAGTTAAAAGTTTGCATTTTGAAACTTGCAACGTCCATGATCAACTTGATCATAGATAAGCCAATAATTTGACACCAACCCTTAATTTTTGAATGTCCTGAGCAACTGAGTACATGGATTTTGAAAGTTTCTTGTCACTACCTTGCTCCTCTATATATGAACCAGTTGGATTTTGTCAAAAGTTGACCTATTTCCATTTTATTCAGGTTTAATTCTAGACAAGACAGTGGAAGAAGTCAATCCATCAGTTGCACTGGAGCTGGGAACGTATTGTGGCTACTCAGCAGTTAGGATTGCTCGGCTACTGAAGGCCGGAGCTCGTCTTCTCACTGTGGAGTTCAACCCAGAATTTGCTGCTATAGCTAAGCAGATGATTGAGTTTGCTGGAGTACAAGATAAGGTAAATACCATTTTTCTCTGGTTGGTATGGAGGAAGCAATATATGGACAGTGGGACTTTATCCATAGAAACAACATTAATAGGTTTAAATTTGTTTTTACTTGTCAAGCAAGTATGACACCCTAAATGTTTGGGAACATGCAGAGTTTAACCATCAGGCTTGATAGCAGGGAAAAGCTACCAGTGCCCATACAGAGAACCAAGGTCATCTGCTTCCTTGTATATACAGTGCAAGTGAGCTCAATTTGTTAGCATCAGTCAGGCATCCAAGTACGATGCCGATGCAGATCCAGCTGAGAGTCAGGGTAGAGTTTTAGGCTTGTCAAGTAGTTGTGTGTGTAACCAAAACAATCAGGGCTCTTCTCCAAAGTTCTTTGCTATGTAAGTTAGGATGAAGATTTGGAGGGGCAAGACCAGAAACAATCATATACATCCATATCTCCTTAAAATTTTGAAAGCATTTAGACTTTATCTTCCAGTTTGGCCTCTTCACTATTCACTGGTTAGTACAGCAGACAGGCCATTTGCTGAGAACTATTTTCAAAACCCACAGCGACTGTAAGTAATTTCAATTATAGTCATAGGACATCAGCACACACAGTCCTTTTGATAAAATTAGTAACCGCTATTGCAGAACTGGTTAGATTTACACCATTATTGAACTGCAAGACTGCCCCACAGATTCCGCCTCCTAGTCATTAGAAGTCTTTCTATGATTTTCACCTGACACTTATTCACAGCCTTTTTTTTTTTTTTACACCCACAGTCCTTATTTAACTACCTCTTTGCTTGGTTACAGTCCCTGACCTCTCACAGCAGTACAGTTCAGGATATCACCATGTTGCCTGCCAAGAGCTAATCTAGAATACTGGGTTTTTCTATAAAGGTTGAATTCAGTGTCAAGACAAAGTACAACAGAAAACCGAACCACAGTCTAATTTGTTACAAAAGCTCAGAAGAAGCAGTTGCATTTTGTACTGTGAACTTCAGATGAGATAGACTTACCCAAATCTATTTGGACACAATATATATACCTAAATTCTGTGCAGTCTGAGATGTCTTGACTCTCTACAGTTGGCTGAGATGCAGGTTATTTCCAGTCTATAACCCCTCTCAGCCCAAGGCAGACACGCAGAGCTGGTCAGGGGGTTCACGTCTGGGAAGTGCCTGGCTGACTAGACAACTCACTTCAATGTAGATGATAGAACTAGAGGAAATAAATCCCACCATGGGATCTTCTAATGTGTTTAACTTCTTGAAGAGAACCTGAAAGTACTAGTGACATCTAAAATTGCATTCTCCCCATCCGATTTAACCTCCTGATCAGCTGTGAGTCATAAACCAGACAGATTTCCTTGCCATCTTTTTCATCCACAGTATATGGTGCTTGCTTATCAAATCAACGTGCAGCAGCTTCTTTCAGTTTAGCAGCACTAATGCCAATAAACCTGGGAGCAAGATGCAATAGCCTCTGTCCTGCCTCCTCCATCTACTCGCCATATTAATTTTACACCGTAGCCTCATTTAAAATTAATGTGTTCTCTGTATTTTTTGCTTCCTTTGGACTACAAGATTCAACTGAGATGTAACTAAAAAAGTAATTAAAACTACTGTTTTCAATAGGAGATTCCCACGTTTTCAGTAAAGAATCACATTATCCAACAGAAACTACAGGTCACTTTTTTTCTGCTATTATTTAAAAAAACCCACCACCACAAAACAAAATTATCCAAATCCATATTTTGGAAGATAACTGAGTTGATTTAACAAAAAGTAAACTTGATCTAACACTATGAAATAATTCAGCTGATGCAATATTATTTATGCAATAAACAACATCCCTGATATTTGGCTACAACTTAAAATAAGCTAGAGGCACGTGCTTTTTCTTAATGGTTCACATTTCATCAGATGGATTTGCATTTCAGGTAAAACTCCTAGAAGGCCCTTCAGAGGAAATTATCCCCCAGCTGAAGAAAAAATATGAAGTGGATACTCTGGATTTTGTCTTCCTGGACCACTGGAAAGACAGATACACACCAGACACCATCCTGCTTCAGGTCAGTTTGCACAATTTCAGCCTTAAAAGCAAATGCCTTGATGTCTGTGAGGCCTATATTCTTTCTGAAGGACCTCATCCTCTGGAAAATGAACAATGGCAGCCAAAACAGAAACCCTGTAAGAAAAGATCTGGGGGACAGGATCCCAAACTTTTATTAGGAACAACTGGTGACACTACATAGCTCAGCACTGGGCAACTAGTGTTGAACCATTTGGTTTCCTGGGTCTGCAGTAGGAGTACTAGCTGGAGGAGCGCATGATCTGGGTGTTATGCTCCCTAGGAGTGTCTGCACTCGCTAACTGGAACACTTGACCAAAAACCATCCTGATCGGGGAAGCAGGTGAGACTTAGGACCTGCATATCCCAGCTCCAACTCTCTAATTTCCTCAGTACCCCTTTTTTTGCCTGGGTCTGTGGTGCCAGCAGAGCCTTTTGATGAAATGCTATTTTGGTAGCACAGCTGGGTATCCTCTTTCTGCGAGTCTTTACTTCCCCATACCAACTGGCTGCAAAGCAACCTGCGGAGGAGCGCAGGCTGCCCCAGTCAGGCACTTGCCAGAGAAGTGCTGTCCATCTCCAGCCCTGCCTGTGGAAAAGTTGCTCACTTCTTCCCAACCTGCCTTAGCATCACTAAACAAGCTGGCTGTAACAGCAGTAGGCAGTGACAGAGGTCCTCTGGTGGTTACCTCACCTAATAGGAAGGTATTTTCAGGTTAAATAACTGAGACTGACAATGTGTATCTATCAACACAGGATATGCAGTACCTCTCCCAGCTTGGGAGCTACAGGCTTACAAAATTTTCTGCAACAGCCTAAGACGACTGCAAGTGTCATCTTTCAATTATTTTCTTCACAAATAAATACACTTTTTTTTGAGGCTGCCTCTTATACTGAGAGCCTGCCAACTATTTCCTGACCCCTGCTTAGGGACTATAACATTGTTTTCTAATCCAGGCTCCCGTTTTTTTAATTTCAGCCTTGTCCTCCACATGGCTGCTTGAAAAGGAAATTTGTTTGGGGTTATGAACAGCTGGTATTGAATTTACACAGCAGTAGCTGAATAAAATGTTCCCTCCCTACAGTTATTTTGCACCCAGAGACTGTTTTCTTTTAAACTGGCTGCGTAAGGATGACTGAGCTCTTTCCCCTGCACATCCTTATCAGAGCTTAACCTTCCTAACGCAGCCAAAACAAACAGGTACTTCAGTTCCATCCTAGCGGTCAGTCAGCAACTGTGATACAAAGTTGCTTCGCTTAAAAAAAATTATGCAATTAGGAGAAAGATGAAGAAAAGATCCCCACGTTTTCTCCGATGTTACAAACCTTCTCACATGCCATTGTGGCACGTACTGCAAAATGAACAGTGAATATGAAAGGTGAATATAAAACATTCAGATCAAATGTGTATTGAAAGTGGCCCAGACAGCATTCCCTTTCACGCACTTCCAGAAGAACCTGACAGGAAGAACATCTGAAGTCCTCATGACCAGTGGAAAATACAGCATGTGTCACTTGTAGGCTTCTATAGTGGGCTTCCGCAGAACAGAAACAGACCAGAGGGCATTTGCCATGTCTCTGAAATTGCTTCTACTCTGCTGCCTGGTGTTCAGTCACCAGAGGCAAAAGCACTAAGCCAAACAGCCTCTGCAGCACACGCATCAACAGGACTTCTCTAATATACTGGGAACGACAGAAACCACACCATGTTTTGGCTGCCACTGCTGCTTGTAACCACAGGGTCACAACCAGCCTGACTGACTACAGACTGTCTGTTTTGAAACAGCTGGTAAGCTCAGATAAGCCACTTCCACCACTTTTACTTTTTCTATCAGTAGAAGTTAGGTTTTATGTTTACTGAGGATACACAGTGCACTTGAAGCAAATTCTACAAGTTAATTATGCCTTGTGGAAATTTGTCAGTGGTCTTCATTGTGCAAAAAACCCTGCTTCATGCCCAGCTCCTGAACAAAGGGGCAGAAAGTTGTACAAGATGAAAGGAAAACAAGCACAGAAAATCTCTTTTATTCATTTAGTGGTTTTGGAGTCTGACTTCCAACTGCTTCCTGAACCCTGCTTTTTGATTTTGACTGAGACTAGCCAAAGCAGACTGGTACGTACCAGTCTCCCAAGTGATCTTAAGAGCTACTACAACATTTTTTAATGCCACATTAAAAAAAAGTTTTCAAACATCAGGCATGAGACCCCAAGCAAACCACCTTACTGATCATGTAGAGACAGTTGGAAACAATCTGAACAGGAAACTGCACACCTCCACTGCACTTGATTTGCTATGGCAGAACCGGACTGAGCCAACACGTTACCAGCATCTCTGATGTCCTACTGGTGGTGTTAACAGAAAAAGTCAGCGTCTTAAACATGACCACAAAGGATCGGAGAGTTACTCACCTTCTCCCATGTCTTTTCTTCCCACCAAACCCATTGTACAATGGGTTTTTGGATGCAGGCATTTGAGTATGACATGATTAACATAAAAGCACATTACATTCAAGCCAGTGTCTGCTTAACAGCCACCATAAAGCAATTTCTCTTCTTTCTAGGAATGCAACTTGCTGAGGAAGGGTTCAGTTCTTCTGGCTGACAATATCATCGTCCCAGGAGCTCCAGAATTCCTTAAATATATCCGCAACAACCCCCGTTTCCAATGCACTAACTACCCATCTCATCTGGAATATATGAAAGTGGAGGATGCTATGGAAAAGGCTGTGTTTTTGGGATAAAGAGAGCCATTAATACTCAACATTTGTTTCAAATGATATAAATGCAACTGCACAGGTTAACTTGTTCATGCTTTAATTTTTGGGGTTTGTATTTTGGAGCCTGTAATTAAAAGGAGGCGCTAGTGGAGATCATTTTAGACTAGGTGGAAGCCGAGATGGGGATTAAGTAGGGTAACTGCTCTAAGGTCTGCTGCATTTTTTCAGGCGATTCCGCAAACCCAAGGCAAAGCACGTTGCCTTGCCCTGACCAACAGAACTTGACCAACAGTCTTATTTTGAGCTCAAACCCAAACAACCAGGTTGGGCTTAGGGTGAGGTGCAGAAGGTCGCTGCAACTTTTCAAGACTTGTGTCCCCACGCTAAACTGATTAATCATTCTCAAAAGTGGAAAAAACATACGTGTTGCAAGAAAAGACCATTTCAGGAGCCCTGATTTTGCTAAATTACTAGCATGCCATTTAATGCAATGAAGGCTCCTACTGTGATATCAGATACGTTTTTGCAGAGCTACTGCAGAAGTTCATCATCTCTGTGAGAGAAAAGGGCATGCACTGAAAGAGAGAACCCTGCAGTGATGAGAAAGTAAAACGGAATTTTGCAGAAGACAAGTAAGATTATTAATTGCCTGGGCAGAGATAAGGAAAACTGAAGTAGTAAATAGATTAAAATAAGCACAGTAACAGATAACAAAATGAGCACTCTTTCAAGAAAACCAAAACTCCGCAACACAAGAGAACTACGCAATATCAGAGACCTTGAGAAAATGGTGTTTATCCCCTCGTATTTACTTATCCCCTCATTATATTGTAGATCCGTAGTATGTGCTTTTTAGGGGCAGGGCAAGCTGCTTACTCTGAAGTGCTGTGTATCTTTTAAGACGCTGTATGAAAATAAAGACCAGAGAGAATGGGTTTTACCAGGGGGGTCCTACACACCCTGGATTAACCTTAGTGCTGTTAACACTATGCGAATCGCGAGGGTTGTCACGGAAACGACACGAAGCCAAACCTGATGTCTCTAACTCACCTGAACAATGCAAAAATCCACAGGCATTTGCTGGCGTGTCCTGCTGTGATTATATGAGGCAATGGTCGCATTTATAAATAAAATGAAAAAACAATAGAGCAGGCACGTGACTTCTTTTGTTTCCCGTGAATTCTGCGCTGCATTTGGGATTTACAGCCTTGGAACAGCCACAGAAAGATCCAACAGCTGAAAAGCAGGGATAACCATTCTCATCCCTCCCATGAGGGATTCTTTAGTTACCAGCTTCTTCCTTTTATAGCCCACCTAGCGGGAGTGGCATCTGCCCTGTGTGCTACAGCAAATCCATCTCCAGGACCGCAACAATGGGGACAGGAAAGGATCACCCCCCAGTACAAAAGAGAACCAGAAGAGGCGAAGGTGACAGAATCAGTTTAAAAATAGACCCAGCAAACCACGGTGACCCAGCTAGTTGGTAATGTGTGTGCTTCACAGCGGTATGAGAGGGCAAGGTTAGGGTTTCTGTAACAATTTAAACTCTGTCACATCGAGAAAGACACAAGAGTTACTGTACTGGATTGGATTACACAGAAGCCACCCCTTGTGAATCTGATGCTGTCCTGCATAGGAGCAGACCCGGCATTCTCACACTTCTCTCTCACACTGAACGTTAATGATTTATTCTGTAAACTTCCTTAGCAAGCATGTCCCCTTGGTGTTCAGGCTCAATTCAAAGTCACTAGGCCAACGTCCTTCAGGTGACTCCAAGGAAAATTTGCAGAAGAAAATAATCTTCAAGCCCTTTTACTGGCATACACAAGTTTCTAGAGCACACTGCAAAACCCGGATACATAGAGTTGAGCAGAAATGTCTTCTGTACATCTAAGGTTATATCTCCAAAGAGTGCTCCTTGCACAGCTTTAAACACCTCTGCACCTAAACAGACACTCCTGCCACAGCAGGGTACTAACACGTCCTGATAACAGACAGAAGTCCCAGATGCTGAAGGATGCGTAAGAAGAAAAAGGCAGACTGTTCTGCACTTTACAGGACAGGATCAGAAAAAATACATTCCTACTGCTCGTTGATGGCCAAAATTACCACCTGAGAGGCTGTCAAGAAAACTGGGGAAGGAGGGAACCTGTAAAGTTAGCATGGATATTTCAAAAGACACATTAGCGAATAATGCATGTGTAATACGTGCAAATGCAGCAGCCACTCAGTATAAAAACAGGTATTTTAATTCATTAAAAAGCATCTCCCACATGGCAAAATGTAAAAACACACACAGCGCACGTATCATCAGATTATTTACAGAATTCCATACGCAAGAGAAATTCTTCCACTTGACCACACTTCTGAAATGCTCTTAATTATTGGTGGCAAGGGATGAAAAAGAAAAAGCCTGACTCTGTCTGCATGACTGACAATGAGAAAAAAGGCTTTTGGTCAGTTGAGCAAATATGAACTGGAGTCGCTGACACATCAATGTGAAATCTCCCAGGGAGAAGGGCTACTTCTCAAAATAAACTCATGCTCTGAATTCTGGGAGAAGCAAAAGGTAGACAATGGATCTTCAAATATATTCTAAAAACCTCCCGAGCGTTACTGCAACAGCCGCCTATTGCAGTTAGATACACAACCCATTCTCGCGCAACATGGGCATGGAGCTGCGCATCCGGAAGCGCGCGTTTCCAGAGCGCCCCACTGACAGAACGCGCCCAATGGGAAGAACTCTCCTAAAATAACACACAGCTTTCTGCCCATTCTCACAACTCCCGTCACCGATGGGTGTTCCCACCCAACACTGCCAGTTGAGATCTGTTCCCCAAACGACAGCTACTCTAGGTTGTCACTACTCGAGCGATTCAGGCAACGCGTGAAGGTGCTGCCTGGTTTGCGCCAGAGCCTCTGTTACCTCCGAGGGCCGTGATGTTTGTCTTTCAAAATACTGAGCTGATTCAGCGTACGAGAGGGGGATTTATGAGGAGGTCAAACCCAGCACTGGTCCCTTTTGCTTCCTCATTTAATACCAAAGTGAGGATAGCAGCACCCATGGAGCAATCCTTACAGCAGAAATTACTCAGCAGAGCGAAGCGCTGTCATACGCTGGGTCAGGAGCCAGTGCTTCCTCTCACTGGCATAGGTAAGTGAAGAGCACCCCTTGGAAGGATTCTGAGCAGTTGTAGGGGTTTCTCTATGTCCACCGCACCACGCGTTTGGTGTGGCAGACATAGAGAAACCCCTGCAAGAGCAGCAGGGAGAGACCACCGAGATTCCGACTCTCCCACCACGGCAGACACCCCCTGGGCCGCAATGTGTGCTTACCTGGTTGAGTAGTCAATCCATCAGGAACCAATTACAAGGGATCTTAGGAACAACAGCTACGTTTGCTCTGCACGCAGGTTAAATGTAGTACGAGTGGTTTAGTCTGCCTCTGACTCTACAGCACAGGTAACGGTCCCATGACAAAACAACTTCCCATTGTTAAAAATCCCCCATCAGCTGGTACCCGAACGAGATTCTGCCACTGCTGTGCTTCGGTGGCACAGAGACCTTCAGAGTACAGCACTCGGGAAGAGACCCACCAAGACAGGACATTCCCCCAAGACACTGCTGAAACCTGAAACAGATGAGGGCTGTGATATTCTTGCCCGTTGTTACCAGGTTAACCTTTCACCTGCAGGACTCTGCTTCCGCCGCCCAACTGGTGATCAGCTGGAAATGAAATCACTTTGACAGCTATAAAAGGTCAGATGTAGAAACAACGTATTTGTTTTAGCTCAGTACCTTATCCACAGCATCTGCTTCCCATCGCCGCAGGAGCGCATCCACGAAGAACCAGATTCCTCACTGCAGCGAACACCGATGATACCTGGGAGCGAGATGCTAAGCCCAGGAGCCCACATCTTACCACAGCACTTGAGTCTAGATCCTCCAGCTGCAAGAACAGAATCTGCAGATGATTTTACAAAACTCCCGGGGATGTGCTCAGGAGAGATGAAATAAGGAGGGAAGGCAAGCTGGAGATGACCTTCCCAGTGCTGTTCAAAAGCATACGCAAGCAAACGGAACCTTAGAGTGCTGCCAGTGGTACGGTCAGGAACGAACACGTGGCAGACGTGTTCCTGGCAATGATTCACCAACCTTTTTCACTCACAGAAAACCTCACGCCGACTGTCTGCGAGACCTCGCCGAACACTTATGTCAAGGTTTACTGGGCCTGTCACGCTTCACGAAGGCACAGCAATAAGTGCAAGGTGTTTGGGTGCACCACTCCCCCTACCCATCGTATCAACAGATGAACGTGCCAGGGAGTCCTCAAGAGAATTAAGACCTGTCGGTAACTGGCTGGTACCTGAAGTACATAGCTGACTTTTCAGTATTGGGATTTTTCTCCCCCACACAGCAACAAATGCAAATTATTTGGTGCATCCCCAAAATAAACAGTTTCTCATGTCAACCAAACCTCATGCGTTGCTATAAGAAACAAATATATTCTGCTGTTCACACATATGAGAATACTTGTACTCATTTCAGAAATGCGAAATCTCTGTAAAGTTACATGGATTTCATGACTAAACTGGGAAAGGTTAATAACTTCCCAAATGGAAAAGCCATCGGCGAGTTCAGCTTGTGGTCCCAAACGTGCAGGCCTTTGAACGGTGACGCAGATGTCTTTTCCACAGAAACGTGCTTGTAAATTAAAAAGGAAAAACCCCGTCATCTACAGCCCAGGGTCCTTGCAGGACTGCATGCAACAACATGTTTATGGCAATGATCAAAATTGTTCAGCTATACTAGTTTAAAGGATATTCCAACTGCCCTCATGACCACTGACCTTTACGTACCCCTGAGTGCTGGCCTGAGCTAGGGCTGAACGATCCCCAGCCACAGAAAGCTGCTGTCGCAAAGCCAAAGAATGTTTGGGATACCTGACGTAACAGAAAGATAACCAATGGCACATGTATTCTTTCCAGGCATGGTTTATTGAAAACACACCAAATTGTTATCCTACATACCTGGTTTCTAACAAGCATTCTACTTGTCTGCATTATGGAAAGATCCTATAATAA